TTAGATATCAAATATGTTTCCCTGCATGGTATAACTTTATTGTGCTGTTATATTAACCTCTTGATGCTTTTGTAGTGGGTTCAATGTGACAAGTGCGAAGCATGGCAACATCAAATTTGTGCTTTATTCAATGGTCGAAGGAATGATGGGGGCCAAGCTGAATATACTTGTCCTAATTGCTACATAACAGAGATAGAAGAAGGAGAGCGTAAGCCTTTGCCACAAAGTGCTGTTCTTGGTGCCAAAGATTTGCCCAGGACCATACTTAGTGACCATATAGAACAACGATTGGTCAAGAGACTGAAGCAGGAAAAACTGGAGAGGGCCAGGGTTCAGGGTAGAAGTTATGATGAGGTAATGAGATTGTTTTTATCTTATGTCATCTATTACTTTTATGATTTGGCCTGACCCTTCTGTGTAATGGGCCGACTTATGGATTTTGATTATGAGATGGTTTCTCCGAAGATGGACTGGTAGGATTTTTGTAAGGAGCATCAGAGATAAGGGTTAAGGGAAGAGAACGAAAGAAATATCTTATGAATATTTCGATGCGAAGTTCTGAGCCTTCTGGCAATGTTACTGTTTGGTGTAGTTTTAGATAGCATTTTATCTATCAATGTTTCATACTTATCAGCTTATATAAGTTTCTTATCTCAGATGCTTGAAACCCTTTAATAGTCGGATTCTTATCATTTTTTGTTTAATGTTTGGTAGATTTTATCTGTAACCTATTGACCAAAAAAAAAAAAAAAAGTATCCTTGTGTCTCCCTTGCTCCCTTGTCATATGCATTTTGATGAATGTTTGGAATTCTGAGTCTTATGTTCTTAACTCTTTTTCAGGTTCCTGGAGCAGAATCCCTTGTAGTTCGTGTTGTTTCTTCTGTTGACAAAAAGTTAGAAGTGAAGCAGCGGTTCCTTGAAATTTTTCGGGAAGATAATTATCCACTTGAGTTCCCTTATAAATCTAAGGTATTTATACCAACTCAATTTTCTGTCTGCTTTTAAGCAGGGTATTTCGACTCCTCGGGTTTTATATTTTGCTCCAAGCCAGAGTACTCTGAAAAAATAATGTAAAAGAACAAGAGTAGTGATATGTTGGATGCTCTCAGTGCCATATTGATTCAAGTAGTATTTTTGGTGGTAATTACTCAATTTCATTTGAATCTTCTATTTCAGGTAGTTTTGTTATTTCAGAAGATTGAAGGTGTGGAGGTGTGTCTGTTTGGTATGTATGTGCAAGAATTTGGATCGGAGGCCTGCTTTCCGAATCAGCGTCGTGTCTATCTGTCATACCTGGATTCTGTAAAATATTTTAGACCTGATGTCAAAGCAGTAACAGGGGAGGCACTTCGTACCTTTGTGTACCATGAAATTCTGGTTAGTAAATATTTGTCCACTCAACTTTTTTGGTGATTCTTGATGTAACTGGTCACTGAAAATATTACTGATTTTATTCTGTTTTTTACTATTTCCAGATCGGTTACCTTGATTATTGTAAGAAACGGGGTTTTACTAGCTGTTACATATGGGCATGTCCTCCATTAAAGGGTGAAGATTACATACTCTATTGTCATCCAGAAATACAGAAGACGCCCAAGTCTGATAAACTACGAGAATGGTGGGCTTATAAAGCAGAAGTGGTGATTTGTTGTTTTAGTTCCTAGTATCAGTATTTTGTTGTTGTCTAACTCTCATTACTTGCTGGTTGTATCTCAACCTGCAGGTACTTGGCAATGTTAAGGAAAGCTACAAAAGAAAATGTAGTAGTTGAACTCACAAATCTGTACGACCATTTCTTTGTGACCACTGGTGAATGCAAAGCAAAGGTAACTGCAGCGAGGCTTCCATACTTCGATGGTGACTACTGGCCTGGTGCTGCTGAAGACTTGATTTATCAGATTAATCAAGATGAGGATGGCAGAAAAAATAATAAGAAGGGGACTACTAAAAAGACTATAACAAAGAGGGCTCTGAAAGCATCTGGTCAGTCCGATCTTTCGGGAAATGCATCAAAGGATCTGCTGCTGATGCATAAGGTAATCCTTTGTACATCGCAAAACAGGTCACTTTCTAGTTCTGTAAGAACAGTGTTGTGCCTCTATTTCGAGCTCTCTGTTAGAGGAATGGATATGGAGCTACAGATAATTTTCTAAGTAGATGTTTTACTTCCCTGTCATGCCAATTTAACTGCCACTGTCTTTGTGCAGCTCGGTGAGACGATTTCTCCCATGAAGGAAGATTTTATCATGGTTCATCTTCAGCACTGCTGCACACATTGTTGTACCCTAATGGTAACAGGGAACCGATGGGTTTGCAACCAGTGCAAAAATTTTCAAATCTGTGACAGGTATGCTCTCTTCGCATGACTTTAGCGAAGTCATTTGCTCTACTTAACCCGTTGTAATCTTGTATTTGTGTTGATTTTGAACAGTCTTTAGTGTCATCTGTACATCATTGAAAAATCAGTTGCTGGCTGTTTTTTACATAAAAATGTTCTGCAGACTATTGTTTCCGAGTATAACACCCTTTGTTAAATGCTGTCATGAAGAACCTGGTGTTGCAGAGATAAAAAATTCTTTGCCGTTACAGCCTTAGCAACTTGGAGCCATGGCAATGATATTGATGATTTCAGTTTTCAATGATCATCTTACTATGCGAATCCCACCATCATCACTGGCATGAGATCGATTTATTGCTTTCTATAACTCTTACCGTCGACTTTAGTTTGAGACTTTTTTGGTTGGAAGTCATGCTGTTCTGACGTGGTAGTCGATTTCATTCTTAACCATTGTCGATCGAGGTTCAGAATTCGTGGTCATCAACTAAAGCTCTAACCTCTGTTTTCTCTTCTTGTACTCTCGAAGGTGTTATGAGGTGGAACAGAAACGCGAAGAAAGAGAACGACATCCTGTCTACCATAGGGAGAAGCATGGGCTATATCCAGTAAGTTTCCTGCTTTGCGATTTTGTTTTTGATGCCCTTCCATTGTGAGAGATTGTAAGCATGACTGAAAATTTTTATAGGTTGAGATCAATGATGTGCCTGTTGATACAAAGGACAGAGATGAAATTCTTGAGAGTGAATTCTTTGATACAAGGCAGGCTTTCCTTAGTCTCTGCCAAGGAAATCATTATCAGTATGATACTCTGCGTCGTGCTAAACACTCCTCTATGATGGTCCTTTACCATCTTCACAATCCGACTGCACCTGCATTTGTTACTACATGCAATGTTTGCCATCTGGATATTGAAACCGGTCAAGGTTGGCGTTGTGAGGTCTGCCCAGAATATGATGTGTGCAATTCTTGTTACCAAAAGGATGGTGGTATTGACCATCCACACAAACTGACCAACCATCCGTCTATAGCTGAACGTGATGCACAGAATAAAGAAGCTCGACAATTAAGGGTTCTACAGGTACGCTTCCAAGTGAATCATTTATGGCTTCTTCGGACAGAGGACTATTGCTCACATTCCTTCCTTGCCTAATGAACTCGCATTTTATGGTTGCTTGATCATATTCTTCTTGGTCATGTTCTTCTCGACTTTTCTTGTGATATCAGAGACAGATAAAAAACAGCTGACATGATTTGTTGTGTGACATTGCAGCTTAGGAAAATGCTTGATCTTTTGGTGCATGCATCACAGTGCCGTTCTCCTCACTGCCAGTATCCGAACTGCCGGAAAGTGAAGGGGCTTTTCAGGCATGGGATACAGTGCAGAACACGTGCATCTGGAGGTTGTGTTCTGTGCAAGAAAATGTGGTATCTCTTGCAACTCCATGCTAGGGCTTGCAAAGAATCTGAATGCCATGTACCCCGTTGCAGGTTTGTGTATTGAACTCACTTCATGCTATGTCTTTGTGAAAAATTTTGATGGTTTGTCCTGGTTCAATAACTTGGACTGTACAGTACTTAATCACTATGAATGTATTGTTTTCGTCGTACAGAGATCTGAAAGAACACATAAGAAGACTGCAACAACAATCCGAATCACGTCGAAGAGCTGCAGTGATGGAGATGATGAGGCAGAGAGCTGCTGAGGTTGCTGGCAGTTCTGGTTAAACCAGTCATCTGTACATACTAAAAACATATGTTCTTTGTTTTTCTTTTCTTTTTTCGGGAAGGAAAAGCTTTCCTGATAAGAAGAGGGAGGCAGAGACGACAACAGTTTTGGTGCTGCTTGGAATGAGGCAGGGGGCAATACACATGATATACATAGACGGAGTTGGAGAAGGGCGGAGGGTATAAAGCAGCCGTTAGTGCAGCAGATTGGGTTTTGATCGACGGTTTCTGTAAGGTATCGATTTTTTTGATTCGTGTCTCCGAAGTAATCTCGCTCCTTCCCCTCCTGCAAAGGAAAAGTGGACAGAGAAAGTTCAACGAGCAGACCAGAGATGGAGACAGAGCAGCTGCCTCGCTTCCTGCGTCTCTTCCAGCAGCAGCTAACTCTATATAGTGTTCCCTCCAGGGAGAGGTGGTGGAGGAGTATAGGATTACTGATGGTTGTGTTTTAGTCAGATGGCAGGCAATGCATCATATGATGAATTGGTGATTCTTTGATTTCTATGTTCAAAGAAGTAAGGGTACATTTTCCAGATTTTGTTTGTTTAAAATGAAACGCACATTGTGAACAGGTCACCTCTTGGTGGCCGACTCTGTACCATAATTATTCTAATTCTCTTCTCGTTCTTGTCTCTGCTTTCCTCTTCCCTTCTCCTGTCCTTGTTTCTCATCACATCTGATGTGCGGTCGGAGGAGCTCGGAGTTGCGAACAGGCTTCATTTTTGCATGCAGTTCTTTTTCTGGAACGAAAACACAAACCACCTACGCTTTTAGTCGGAATCAGACCCGCTAATAAATTACGCGGGAAAATTTCTGTTTTATTTCGGGAATTGAGTGAATGGGAAAGAGAGGCAAGGAGGTGTCAAACGTGGCACTATTTGAGTGGCGCAGTTAAATAAAAAGGAATAATAAATTCACCCCTTCCACTTAATAAAACTTAAAAAAAATAAATAAAAGAGAAGAAAAGGATTCTGTGGTCTCCATTTCTGGTCTGGTTTGTTCTTCTCCCCTCTCGCGTCCCTTTTCTTCACGTAATTTCTCTTCCTAAAAAGATGAAATAATACAAGCTCCGATCTCTGTTCTGAGCGGACGATTACCCGATACCGAGATAGTTTGTTTAGTGTTTCTGTTCTGCAATTCTTCCTGCGGAGCGAAGAAGAGAATCACAGCAACAAAACAAGCATGAAAGGTGCTATAACTGCTCCAGCAGGTGTCAGTCTCCGAATTGGGATCGGGAATGCCAACGGCATCAACTGTTTCGTCCCTCACCGGAGACCCATTTCTCTCCCGGCCGCCGTGAAGAAACCCACTTCCCTCACCGTCGTCGCCACGACTTCCTCCGACGGCGGCGGCAGCAAGAAGAAGAACAACAAGAAGAAGAGCAGCAGCAACAAAATCGATGAATCAGCGCCGGCTACCACCGCCGACGCAAACCCCATCCAGCCTCCTCCGGCGGCGGAGCAGCAGAAGCAGCAATCTCAGTCCCTGAGCTTAGACGATGTGAACCCAGTTGGCCTGGGGCGAAAATCGCGGCAGATTTTCGACGAGGTGTGGCGGAAATTCTCCGGGTTGGGTCAGATTTCTCGGACCATCCGACCCGACGAGACGGCGGCGGCGCTGGACGCGCTGCTCATAAGGGAAGGCCCCATGTGCGAGTTCGCCGTCCCTGGGGCTCAGAACACCACCGTCCTCGTCGTCGGACCCACCAGCCGCATTGGCCGCATTCTCGTCAGAAAGCTCATGCTCCGCGGCTACACCGTCAAGGTTCCTCTTCTAGTTTTTTACCCACAGTTGGAATTCGAATCGATTCCGAGGCAATTTTTTTGGGTATTCTGATTGTTGTCTTCTCCAATTCCTGGGTCAGGCTCTGGTGAGGAAGTCGGACCAAGAAGTACTGGACATGCTGCCGAGGTCAGTGGAAATAGTGACGGGCGATGTGGGAGATGCCATTACTGCTCAAGAAGCCGTACAAGGCTGCAACAAGATTATCTACTGTGCCACAGCTCGTTCTACCATTACTGCTGATCTATTCCGGGTTGATCATCAAGGGGTTTATAACCTCACTAAAGCCTTCCAGGTTTTCGTTCTTTTGCTCTCTGTGTTTCACTTTCATTTCATCCCTGGTTGTGACTTGTGAGTGGACTTTTCTTCTCAATTTGGGGATACTTTGTACTGTCAGGATTACAACCACAGGCAAGCACAGCTGCGCGCAGGGAAAAGCAGCAAGAGCAAGCTTGTGCTGGCGAAGTTTAAGTCAGCCGAGTCATTGGATGGCTGGGAAGTTCGTCAAGGAACTTATTTCCAGGATGCTGTAGCTTCCAAATATGATGCAGGAATGGATGCTTCATTTGAGTACAATGAGAATGGCGAAGCAGTTTTCTCAGGTTGGTGTAGTTGTCTGATTCGTAGTTTTTTTTTTCTTTTCCTTTTAGCCTTCGTTTGTTTGGCTCTTGCTTGAATGTGTTTCTTGTTTTTTATTAAGGTTATGTATTCACGAGAGGAGGGTATGTTGATTTGTCGAAACAGCTCTCGCTGCCTCTGGGATACACACTCGACAGGTATGTGTGATGCTTCTGCTCGTATTAGTTCGTGGATCTGAAGTGTCAGTGCTGCTCTCTAGGAAGCTTTGCGGTTTGATAATTAGGTTGTTTGACATTTTTATTGTTCAGGTATGAAGGGCTTGTTATGTCTGTTGGTGGTAATGGAAGGCCATACGTACTTATTCTTGAAGCTGGCCCTTCAGCCGATAGAAGCCAGAGCAAATTATATTTCGCAAGATTTAGCACCAAAGCCGGGTTTTGTAGGGTAAATGGATATTGTTACATCGTTTTACTATCAAAGCTGTGTGAGCTCTTGATGCTGCTTCTACTAATCTCTAGTGATGCTTTGATTATCTGGCAGGTTAGAGTGCCATTTTCAGCGTTCCGCCCTGTGAAACCAGAGGATCCGCCACTGGATCCATTCCTTGTACACACAATGACTATTCGATTTGAGCCTAGAAGACAGGTCTGTCTTCTGCATGCTGACATTTGCTTAAAAGGACATTCAACATACTTGAGATGCTGATTCTATTCGATATATTTTGCTGCAGAGGCCTGGTGAAGGAGCTGCAGGAGGTCAGCAAGACCTAAGAAGTTTCAAACTAATAATGGAGTACATAAAAGCTTTGCCGGTACTTACAAGATCATTGCTCCCTCTTCCTTTTTTGCATTGTAATATTTTCATTAGGAACTTTGACGAATTTTCTCTCTTAATTATGACTGCTGAATGAACATGATTCTTCACTTTTGTGTGCAGACCGGGCAAGAGACAGATTTTGTGTTAGTGTCATGTACAGGGCAAGGAGTAGAAGCTACCAGGAGGGAGCAAGTTCTGAAAGCCAAAAGGGTACTACTGCTACTTCTTTGGCCTCGCCATAAATCAGTTAGTCCTTTGATCCTGATTATCTTTTGTTCACATTTTCTACAGGCCGGTGAAGAGTCGCTAAGGAAATCAGGACTTGGATACACAATCATTCGCCCCGGTCCTTTGAAGGTAACTGATGTTTTCAAGTAAATGAGCATGCTTTTCATTCCAACTTAAAAAATGAGTCGGTGCTAATTCAAAAGTTTTATGGAGAAAGAGAAGAGATTACGAAGCCATTTTATGCTCATGATCTGGTGGAATTAATGGTCTTTTACAGGAGGAGCCCGGTGGGCAACGCGCGCTGGTGTTTGATCAAGGAAACAGGATTTCCCAGGTGAGAAAACAGAGCATTCTCTGCCATCCTTTTCAAAGATGAAGGAAATCTTATTTACGAGCTAAATACATTGTTTCTCATCTTTTTATTTATTTATTAATGGATTGATCTACATTACCTCAGGGCATAAGCTGTGCCGATGTAGCTGATATATGTGTGAAGGCTTTGCACGATTCAACTGCTAGAAACAAAAGCTTTGATGTGAGCACAATATCTCTTTAGGTTTTCCATGTTCGATAAATGGACGGAGTGTATGAAAATGTGAATTCATTTGCTTACAGGTCTGTTATGAGTATGTGGCTGAGCAAGGGCAAGAGCTTTACGAGCTGGTAAGTAGCATTCTGAAACTATCAAGTAGCTCTTTGTTAGTTCTTTGACTGTTGTGACACACATGTTTTCTCGAAGTGAAATGTAACGCGCAAGTAAAATGGCTGTGCAGGTGGCACATCTACCAGACAAAGCAAACAACTACTTGACTCCTGCACTCTCAGTCCTGGAGAAAAACACTTGATATACTCTGGCAAGCAAAGAAGGACGAGAGTGAGCGACAGAGAACCGAAGCCCTGTGAGTGGAAAGACATAGAGTTCATCACGTTCATTGAGCTTTGCTGTTTGTTTGTTCTGTATGTAATATGCATCATAGTAAGACATGTTGCAGTATGTTATCTTGATTGTACATTTTTCATGTATAGACGAGATACATAGCAAAGATCGGTCGGTACAACAGGTACATAGAAGTCAGGGCACAGAGATGTAAACATCAGAACGAGGTGGTGATTTTGAAAGTGTATAAAAAGTGTGTTATGTTCAAGAATCAAGATACTACTCTGTACCACATAGATGTACTTTTCTTGCACGGGAAGAAACAGACAAAAGGGATCAGGTTTTAGGGAGAAAAGAGAGGTGGATCCCAAGTGGATAAGAAAGATTATGATGTGTCCTAACAAGTGAGATAGCAGTAGGCCATGGAGTTTATCAGCTTCCCTTATCCAACTTTTTTGTGGTTGTGCAGAAGTCTGATAAAATTGGACTTTTTTATATGCAGATGCAGTGTGTATGGCTGTGTTTCCAAACAGGATTCCGGACCACAAAATCAATACCATTGACTACGTGGCCACAACATTGACACACTCGGTCGGTCATGTTAAGAACTTTTGTCAAACATAAAGGATAACATTTGATTTAAGCAACTAAGTATGCGTCGAGATCTCTCGTCATAAAAAGAAGTTTACTTGCTACGAAATGAAAGGTTAAGATAAAAGGGTTGCATGTTTGAGAGCAAGTAATGAAAGGCTGAGAATGCTGCCTGCAAGGACAGGGGGAAATTCCGAACGAAGAACATCTATCTATAAGAATGAGCAAGGAACTACTGGTGTGCTGTTTTGGGAAAAATGATAATACGAAGCCACCACCATTGTTATAGCCTACAGTTTCCAGAGAGACCTGCCAAATCTAGTAGTTACAGACTCGACCTCAACTACAACAGCAACAAGAAGAGCAACCTTGTAGCTGTAGGAGGATTGAATTGGTATGCTACAACGACAGCAGCGATCAAAGGCAGCAGTCGGCGCCTGCTTATGAGAAGAAGCATTACGACGAGTGTGCTCGCGGCGGCCTGTGCAGTAGTACTATTAGTCTCGCCGCCTCCTGCCGGTACAGCGGAACAGAGGAAGAAGAGGGAAGGCGGGGAGGAGGAGGAGGAGACGCTGGGGAATTTGCCGCAGACTCTATCGGGGGAATGTGAAGCGGAAGAGGGGAAGGATTGCAAGAAGGCGATGAGGATACAGAGACCCAAATCCAGGAAAGCAGAGGCTTGCACCGTGAAATGCGTCAACACCTGCATCCGCGGCGGTTATGGCTCCCCTGGCGAAGGACCTTTCAGTATCATCAGGTAATCAAAATTCAAAACCTTAAGCATTCTGATTATTTATTCCTCATGCATCAACTCCAACAGTATTATTTATGGTTTTCTCGTATGATTCATGGTGGTTGGTTTGTGGATGCTAGACCTCTGGTGGTGTTCAAGCAAGGGTTTCGCAGCCGCCATTACTGGTAGTTATTCTATATTTTTATTCCTCTTTCTTTCTTTCCTCTCTGCGTAAGATTTAGGGCTGATTGCGTGACAAAATGCAATGTTCACTTCTTTCACATTTGCAGCCTGGTAGAGTGCTCTGATATCTGCAATCTAATCGGTGATGGCGACGATGATGGACCCTGAAACAGACCCACTCTGCCTTCAAATTGTCTATCCACTTTTCAATGTATCACAGGGATGGACGAGAACAAGCATCCTGCTTTCCTCCTATTATTTTGCAAGGGAATTGATAAACGTCGTCTTTAAAATTATTATTGGTCGTCCTAAAAAATAACAAAGTTACACTTTTAACCTTTTGTCATCTTTAGCAAACAAACATCACTTTAACTAAAAAAGGAAAAACACTCAATTTCCCACACTCTCGAATTCATCGTGACATTCTCGAGTCGTAATTGTTGGGAATACGTCCGAATCATGAGTAGCGACTCCGATGAGGTAAAAATCCGATTTTTTTTCAAAAAAATCCAAAACCCCTCAACCGAAGCCAATTTTCGGTTGTACCATGACTCAACCTAAGGCAATTTTCGGTTGTACCATGGACCAACCGAAAATTGCCTTAGGTTGCACCATGGCTCAACCGAAGCCAATTTTCGGTTGTACCATGGCTCAACCTAAGGCAATTTTCGGTTGGTCCATGGTACAACCGAAAAATTCCTTAGATTGAGCCATGGTACAACCGAAAATTGGCTTCGTTGAGGGGTTTCGGATTTTTTTTGAATTTTTTTTGTTTTATATCAATAATTTTCTATTCTTTTACTACGATTTATGGTTCGGTCCATAAGATAATTTGTTGGATTTTGGTTTATATTTTTTTAGATTTATGGAAGGGGAGGGTTGTTTGTTTTGTGTTTGATTTTGAAATTCAAAATGGGCAATTCGGTAAATTACATTAGGACGATGGTTAGTAATTTTTAGGACGACCTTTAACCATTAACCATTCAGTTTTGTAATCTAATGCTTTTTCATTTTTCACTTTCTAATACCAAAAGAAGACAGCACGGTAGTCCATTTTCCAGTCGGACCTGCCGATACGATTTAGCCAACACTGGTTTTGTATCCTTAAATTCCCCAAGACACGATACATATATCCTGGAAACTGTTGATCACCAGGCGGTGCGGTATCCCTCAAAGCCTGGAGGAAGGCGAAGACTGGGTGCTGCAATTATCACAAGTACCCGAAGCCTTCTCATCATCACGCCGGCGACTTTCTACTGCTGTTGCAGCGTCATCTTCATCATTGGCCTCCTTCTCCGCATCATCCACCAACTGCATGCATGACGCATAAGCACCGACTCTCAGTTAAAGCAGCCACCATATATGAAAATATCTACAACAAGTAGCTCGAAAAGAGTCGTTTGATTTACCTTGGAAGCGAGGGAGGAGGGGAGGATGTCAAGGAGGCGGGTCTTGATCCGGTCGAGACCATCTTTCGTGACGAGGCCATGGGCGGCAACGCTGATATCGTTCACCACGCTCTCCAGGAACTGGCGGAAGTCGTCGATTGCTTCTTTAGGGACGGAACTAGCAGCTCCAAGCTTCTCCAGCACCTTCTCCATTATCGTCCGCATCTTTCTCTCCTCCTCCTGCTCCTCTTTCTTCCCTTGCTTTCGGGCATCGCGACTATGGTTGATCGCAGCTGCTGGAGAGTAAAGCTTCCCTTGCCCCACATCATCTTCTACCTCTTTTGGATTATAGTCCTGGGCTTGGCTGTTCTTGCCGCTGTAGCTGTAACTGTAGCTTTCCTTGTGTCTCACCATTTCTGTACTTGACAAGGACGTGTAATCAAAAGTATAGCCCACCACCAACTTAAACTGGATTAGTTCATATCTAGATATAGAGTGGATACATGTTTTGTGGACTCCAGCAACAGACGGCCATTTATCTCCGCCGGTACCATACCCTTTAACTAAGTTAAGCAGCAGAATTGTAGACTTCAATATGCTCACGTAAGGAAAGCAGCAGCAGCAGCAGAAAGAGGACACGCTACTGGCTTCCTTTCATTCCACATATCTGCTTATTCTCCACGTGTAAGGTATCCCCAGAGCAATCAACTTAAAGGAGAAAGAAAAGAGGGCCAAGAAAGGTGGTCAAGGTCAAGGTGCTACTATTCTAGACCAAAAGGCTAATTTGCCCCAGGCTGAGGTTTCATTCAGCTCGCCTCTAACGAAGCTGTAAGTAATGTTTTTGACACTGCACCATCCGGTCGAACCGAATATCGGAGATCAAACTGATAACAGTTCATCAAACTAATAACAGACGAGTAACACGCAAGCACAATACAATACACATCAGTAGCAGCAGGAGCAAGTAAATCAGTAAAGCTAAAGCAGCACAGAAATTTTGCAGGAACAGCATTGGCTTTCATGTTATAATAATCATACCAAATATACATGAGAGAGAGAAGGCGCGGGTCTTTGAGTCAAACAAGAAACATCAACCGTAACAACAATGGCTCCCATTCTCTACGAAATTGAACATGCATTTACACAGAGCATTCATTTGTTCATTCATGGTTACCCTGGACCTTAATGCATTCTGATCTGAAAAGGGCGTCAGAAAGTTGAGCCATTGAATCCAAAGAAGGGACGCTGTAGAAAACAAGAGGTACATCATCAGTAAAATCCATCCCACTGCAGTTGGTTAATTACTGGTTGGAAACACTTCCAACTATAGTCACTGTTTGAACTCATCCTAGCTAGCTACCCATCAGTACCAATGCTGGTGACTATAAGCTATTGTAGTTCAGCTTTAACTATCACATTTCAAGTTTTCAACTACACCAAGTATGTTTTGGTGTTTGCTACATTACCATAGTCCCTGTCATCTACACAATAGGGTTGTTCGCTGAACTTTTGTTTTAGCTCCAAGAAAGCAATTCTCAGAGCAAGCAATAAGAACCAAGACTGAAACTTTAGAAGTTTGAGCGGCTTAGGCTTTACCTCAACATCATAAAACTTGATGTAAAAGCGGGAGCTATCTATGGAGAGCTTGGTTTCAAGAATCTCAGCAATGGTGCCACTGAGTTTCCCATTTACGCTTGGCCCCAAACCTCCAATGGAAATCAACTCTCCATATGCAGCAGGCTCCTCTGTGCCAGCGAATGCAATGGGTACGCCGCTATTCACCAAAATCATCACATACTGCAAAACCAGAACGACAACACAACCACCGAAAGGCACGTCAGAGTAAAATTAGCACAAAAGTTCTGGCAGGCAGTAATTTCATCAAACACCAATAGGACATTGCAGAAAGTAGAAGCGCGACTCTTCTAATAAATCCCCAAAGGGGGGAGGAGGCGGCAACTCAACTGATTCAGGCTTGCCAATGATTTTGGAAACGGCTTTGGTGGCGTCTTTCAGAATATCCGACGTTGTGACAGCGTCGACAGGAATATTCGTGTAGAGATTCAAGGTCGGCATTTTCTCCGCTTCCTTCCTTCGCTGCCGGTGGTTGCGCCGGAGTCGGTGGCTGGATAAGAGCTTGCTGCCGGAAATTGGGTGGTTTGAAATCCCCCCTCCGCCGTTCTGCTTGCTAAGTAGCAAGGAGAAGTCCTTTGTTTCGTTTTGTGGACCGCGAAATGCCTGGAGTGTTCCGCCCGGCCCGGCCTATCCATATGGGACCCGACCCGAAGATTTTCGTAAAGCCCGGCCCAGAGAGACGAAACGACGTAGTTTGATGTGTAAACACACAAAAACCTCACCCTCTCTACGTTCCCCGTAATAGCAAGCCGCAACCGCCAAACGAAGCAGGCCGCCGCACCGTCGACCCTGCCCTCCAGAGCGCCAATTCCGCCAACCTCAGCTCCTTCTTCTCCTGCCTCGCCGCGCCGGAGGGCCCTAATCCAGATCCTCCAGTCATCGTTCGTCAGTCACGCAGTTGGCTACAGGCTGCAGCGAGTAATTCTACTTTCTTTCTTTTTCTTCAGTTAGAATTTGACGATTCTGGCATTCTGCTGTGTGCCCTTAGTCCTTATCATTTAGTTGTTGTATCTCATGATCCAATTCCTTTTAATGGGTTGCGTTAATTGGAAACGAGTAGAACCAGTGTGACTGGACAGAACATTTTGGGGCAGAACAAGTTAGCAACCGAAACCTCACTTTATCTCTGTCTGTATATAATCATATGTTCCTGTAATTTTCCTTCAGCCTTTCTTCAACCTGGGCTAGTACAAAGAAAAGAAATGTTCTTTGTGTACAAGTTCACTAAGAAGTGCTCTTTCTGTGGATTCATTGGCGCCTATTATCGTATCTGCTTTTTCATAGAACCCCTACCATCTAATAGTTCAAAGGGTGGGTCTCTGTTTGTAATTTAGATATTGGTTTTGTGTTCTCTGATTTATTATGGGTGGTATTCTTCTACCAGTGCAATTATTCCAGGATTCTTATTTGTTTTCACTTGTCCTCATTGAATTGGAAAAACAGAAGTACAAATGCTTTGGGGTATTGGTAGATCAGCAAGCAGGTATTAGTGCTGTTATAAATGTAATTGCACGGTAATGGTGTGGGGAGGGATTCTGGGTTTTGGAGACAGGTATAAGCTGCACGGTATCCAGCCTATTGCCATCCCTACTGCCATAGACGACCTGTCAAATATTCTTTTCTCTGGTCTAGTCTAATTGTTTTCAGCTGTTTTCTCTATTAGTAAATGTCATCTTATGTTGGAAATATAATGCTATGTAGATAGTAAAACGAAGGTGAAAAATGATGAACAAGAAGGAGATTCTGAAGCTAGCCAAAGGGTTTAGGGGCAGAGCAAAGAACTGCATCAGGATAGCAAGAGAGAGGGTGGAAAAGGCTTTACAGTATTCCTACAGGGATCGTCGAACCAAGAAACGTGACATGCGCTCCCTATGGATCCAACGGATCAGCGCTGGCACCAGGCAACATAATGTAAGTAACTTCTTCGCTGCCTAGAGTATTTTGTATCGATTGATTGGTTGGGTACTAGCATGATTGACCACATTTGTTCTGTAAGTTCCTTTCTGCTATTATTACACACGGATTTGTTGGAACCTGAAACTTAATACTACACTTGCTGTTGAGTTGGCTATATCCTCTTGTCCTTCGATGCCACTGCCTGTATAGGTTTTCTCTGGCAAATGCTTTTCTTTTGGAGGGAGTTGTAGAATCACGTTCATTATTAATTAATGGAAATATGGATTTGGTTGTTGAAGTTTTACTAGATGCAGCAAGTTCATGGGGTTTTTTAAAAGCAACTACCATTTACCCTTAACAAATCATTTCATTTTTTCCCAGCTGTATGTGAATTAGAATTACCCTGGTCGCTTTAGAAAACTGCTATAGTTACTGCTCTTGCTTTAACTGTGTAATCCTTAAGATCCCTGTCTTAATTTGACCGCTCAAGTTTGATTAATACTCGTATCCTTCAAAGCATTAGCTTATTGTCAAAATTCAAGGAGTGTGTTAATATGAATCGAGAAGCCTCGTCTATTTCCAGCCCAGTATTATGTTTTGTGCGTCCTTGCTTCAACTGTGAGTACATGTTTCAGTATTAATTTATTCATGGTCTTTTATATTAGTATTATCTGGAACTGTGGGCCTTCTAAAAAGTTCCTAAACTCTATGATTTCATAAATAGACCTTTTGAAGTGTAAAATTGCGTAAAAGAGAACAGAGGATGATCAACTGAAGTAGGGGGAGCATTTGTGAAGTATATATTGACTGTTTTCTGCATGATACACTTTCATTCACGCATAATTTCAGCTCTAGGCTTTCTGTAAGATAAGGGATGGTTATGGTTTATTTCTGCAAGTTATGAGTGATGAGAAACTGTTAAGTGCAATAGATATTAGATAGGTAAAGACCAAGAATTTGTCTGAGAAAGCACACCATAAGTGAAGCTTCTTTCTCTTCCTTTATAAGCATTTTTTGCATCTGGATCCATCTCCTGGGTTTCTTTGTCTCTTGTGTCCAGTGCACCTATTTGGAAGCTCTGCTTCGTACTTTCTACTTGATTAGCGGAACTAGTTAGTGGTTGTGTGAAAATAATAATGTGCTTATTATTTCGCTTTGTGGTCTACAAGTTAAGAACTTGCAGTTTAAATCCAATCAGTTGCTCTTTTAGACCGCCTAGTACCTAGAGGGTGATTGCAGTTTGTGAATAAAGTCGGAATCTGTTTGGCGGTGGTGGAGGTTTCTTCCATTTGCATGGAACATTGCTTGGCTTTGAGGATCCTTTGATCCTCTGTATCTAGAGATTTGATAAGATGTTCTGCTCAATTTTTAGCTGGCTGGCTAACTGTCTGTTGGCCGGCTAATTCGGACCTGGGGACCTGCTCTAGTTCTAGTAGATGTTGCTTGAGGCCAATCTGTGTTTCTAGAAGAAATAAATTGCCAGTTTGTCTTCTGTCTTCTTTCTCCCAATTGTATTCGCATAGCTGAATGCTGTTAAGCTTTGGGTCACTTTCCTTAAACATGGAATTGGTCAACCCGGTCCTGTTATTTGATAGGATATCATAACCTGCTTCAATGTGCCCCTCACTTAACACTTATGTCATATCTGTTGGCCGGCTAATTGGGACCTGTTCTAGTTCTAAAGATGTTGCTTGGGGCCAATCTATGTTTCTAGAAGAAATAAATTGCCAGTTTGTCTTCTGTCTTCTGTCTTCTTTCTCCCAATTGTATTCTCATAGCTGAAAGTTGATAATATTGCTGTTAAAGCTTTGGGTCTCTTTCCTTAAACATGGAATTAATCAACCTGGTCATGTTATTTGATAGGATATTTTAACCTGCTTCAATGTGCCTCACTTAACACTTATGTCATATCACCTAACATGTATCATAATTGAGCTGTCACTTAAAATATCCCCGACCAATCTCTTGAAATCTGTGGTTGTCAGACTTCTGTTTCTAGACGTAGCTTAGGGAATGCATAGCATGTAAAGAAGAAACTGTTAACGAAACGGTGGTAATTGCAGGGCATCTCTGATTCTCTATCGTGTGATATGCAGGTCCATTATGGTCACTTCATGCACGGGCTCAAGAAGGAGAACATCCAGCTGAACCGGAAAGTGTTGTCGGAGATATCAATGCACGAGCCTTACAGCTTCAAAGCGCTGGTAGACATTTCTCGCGAGGCTTTTCCAGGCAACAGGCACATCTATCATCGTCCAAGGAAGGTCGATATGTCGATCACTGCATAGCGAGCTCGACTTTGGTAATGCATCCTTTGTTGCTTTGCAATTGCCTTGTCGTTTTGTAGGCCATCATAACAAGCCTCCAAATCTACTAGCTCCGCATATATACATGTATTTTAGCTTCAGAAATTATGGGACTTTTGAACTGTTTCCCTAAGTTATTATGGTGTGGTTTCGGGGAGATTTAAATAAGCTCTGAACTTGGTGGTTTCTTGTGTTGGTTTCCTGAGCTTGGATGCCTCCGTTGGCGTCTCAGTCTATGCCATTTGTCTATACTTTCTACGGCTCGGGGTTCTACATTCTAGCCTTCAGAACAGCAGGTGTGATTTGGTGAGGCTAAAGTCTAGCCTGGTTGAATTATAATTGACGAAAGAGTCACTACTAACTACGTTATTTTTCACTTGTTACTCTTGGGGGTAGATGGATTTGATAGACCAACTCCTTAATCGGATTGATGTTTAACAATTGTTTATTGACTTCAAGAGCTTAATCAGCTATCTCCCTGAACTATACGTCATTTGTTTGTAAATAAACAAAAAGGAATGGGTAAATTAACATGAATGAAATAAAATATTTAGTTATCAAAGTGACTTTTTTTAGTAATCTCAGTGATCAACCTTGCACTGAAAGAAATAGATTGCGGATGGATTTAGGCCCCTTCAGTTTTTTCTTGTGATTGTACTTACCCCAACCTACTAAATTCGGTAATGGCGGAAGCGTTTCTCTCAACAAGTGCGGAAGTGTCTTCCTACAAAATGTGGAGTGAGGACGGAGGGGTAATCTTAGTTGTGGCGTTCTCATTCGTAACAATTGTAGGAGTGATAGTCGACGAGTTCTTTCTCATGCAACGTAAAATAACATTTGTCACCCTGCACAAAGTTACCAAGTATTGAAGATATAGTTTCGCTGCGAATAATTATAATTTATCATTATAATAATTATAGGTTACACTTTATTTTTGTGCAGACAATTCATGTTAAAAACAATGTCAACCATCACTTGTGATTTGATGGGCAAGTAAGTGCACGAATTAGCACAAAAATCATTCAACTTTACTTTGATGTGAAGGATTTAGTGTTGAGGAATTCAGGGTAAGGGTTTAGGATATACAACTTGGGGTTTAGGATTAGGTGTTCAAATTGAAGGTTTACGGCTTATGTTAATACATTGGCTAGTTGTGATCTTATGTTGTATCATCATATTAGAGAAATGCTACTGATCATTAAATTCCAAAATTTGATATCTTAATGCTAGTTTTAGAGTTAGGTGCATTGTATGCACTCATTTTTCGTGAGTATACCGACGAAGAAGTAGATTATTGTTTATTCACAATAATTTCCCTCCATATTATATATTTGTTTACCCTCTTGGTCAGAAGTTTGAGAACACTCTTTGTCAATCCCCCGTTCATGTCAACTTGGAGTACGTACGCATGGGCTGTTCCTTCGTCGTTGTTGCAGTTGGTTAGGTATGGAGTTCTTCTACTAGCTCCCTATTTAAATGTTAACTTAGGTTATCAATTTCTTGCGAGTTTGAACCATTCCTCCTATACACTATAAACAAACCCTAATTACAAACTTGTCATTTGTACATATTCTATTCGTTAATAAAAGGAAAAAAAAACCCACCTTGTAAATTTCTGTGGGAGCCAAGCCAGTTGTGTACATTCCTAGCTAGCTAGCTAGCTAAGGCTCCCATCTTATTTTAGTTTGTTGTCCTAATCCACCAACCAACAAAAGGATATGAACATGAATATGTGCTCTACCCACTTTCTACAACAATGCCTGATTAGAAACAATATGATTGATTTGTTGAAATACATTCAATAAATTGGATGCACTATTTTAGGATTGGCATAATATTAACATGGTGAGTTTACTCGTTAAAGTTAGAGTATATAGTATCATGTACAAAATTATGTCAACGCAAGGTTTATATAACGTTCTTACTAATTAATGTATGAGGGTACGTACCACATATTTACCGAAGGTATCATAGAAACCACTGTTAGTCTAATATGATGATATGAAGTATAACGAACTAACACTCACCCATTACTCTAAACCCTGAATCTTGGATTTTTAAAGCTTAAAACCCTTACGTTGGATGGAAATCTAATTGATTTTCGTTAAATCCCGACCTTTACTTGTTCATCGTACTGCAATTAAATATTGAAATTGTTGTTTGCGCAAATTTATAGTTACGGGATGGGCTTCCATCGTAACATGCCCCCCAGTGCAGTGAAGACATATATGGTTATAATTTCAGTACACTCAGTTAATTGGATGTAGTACCATTTTATAATTATCATTTTGATAATGTGATGCAAGTCAAACGATCTCAAATCATCAAATGAATTACGATAAATGAAAAAAATGAATAAATTTGCACAACAATCATTTCGAATCTGCTTGTACTTTTGTAAGGATTTAGAGGGATTAGAGTTGTCTTTATAAATTTGGGCTCATGCATAAGATGACACACGAGTTAGTTTCTATACCATCTTCTTAAATTAATGTTAGGAATTAAATTGTAAAACTCCCTGATTAAACGTTGCTTTTAGGTTATATGTACATATATAATATGCCCTCTTGTTTATGAATGAACCGTGAAAAGAACCTAATATATATATATATATAACAGGAAATTTTCCCTGTTCTTAGTATTTTAGTAATTAATATCTTAGGGTTCGTCGTTTACGAAATTGCTTTTCATGTAGAAATTAAACTCAACTGTCCGTTGAGTCGTTGTTGTCGGGGTTTGTGGTGGTGGGAGTTGACAAATGTTGACGTTCCCATCAGGGGCGGAGCCAGGTGGTACTTTGGGGGGCCTCGGCCCCCCCCCCCCCCCCCCCCCCCCCGAGATTTTTGAAATCACGTACAAAATTTTATCGAGGTTTGAAGAATTACGTATAAAATGAAGATTAGTATAAATACAAACTGTGTGCTATAATGAAGCATAAGATTTGTGTGTAGTCCAGCGGAGCAGACGTTTATTGTTGTCATTCATGGTCTTGGTTCGAAACCTGTTGGCAACAAATTGTTATTGATTTTTTAACCTTCTTAACTGACTGTGATAAAAACATCATATTTAATTGTCTTTAACCTTCTTATATTGATTTTTTTAACCTTCTTAACTGACTGTGATAAAAACACCATATTTAATTGTCTTTAACCTTCTTAATTGAGCGTGACAAGGACCATATTAATTTTTTTAACCTTGTTAATTTAGTTTTACCATGAAGCATATTTAACTTTCATTATTTGTTTTACAAGTCATGTAATTTTGAAGTAGCTTAATTATGTTCTTCAAATTTTAAATTTATATTTCTAATAATAGTTTTGGCATTTTCATTATCTCAAATATTACAAATAAATACAAATATTAATTATATTTTATGATATATTTTCTTCTACATATTACACTTTCTAAACTTCGGCCCCCCCGACGGTCAAATCTTAGCTCCGCCCCTGGTTCCCATTAGGGGGAGCATTGTTTCTAGAGGGAAATTTTGCAATGCTAGTAAACAACGATGCTATTAGGTACAACAAGTTAAATTCGTATCATCACATTGAAATAACATGTTTTATTTGTACTACGAAAGAAATTTGTACCAAAAGGTATATGTATGAACTAAATCGTAAATGCACATATTCAGTTTGTATCATAATGAAATTCATATAAAAAAAATTATGTAAAAACTAAATGTTTTACCATAAAGTTAAATATACAAATTCATCTTATATCTTTTTTTTTTTTTGTAAACGAAATGAAATCGTACCATACTGACGGTTCAAACACAAGATAACACTATTTGAGGCTAAACTGGTAGGCGGTATTTAATGATAATAACGATTATACTACAGATAAACCACGATTTTACCATAAAATACCCTACTGTTAACTTTTCCAATACTTCATAATCGCAATGATAGCGGAGCTCATGTTTAATCAAATTAGGTAAGCAAGCACATAGGCCGCCGTATGTATCATCGGCCGGCCACTAGTTTGAGATTGAAGTCGTCTGTTCCGTGGAATGTTTTTTTGACTGACTATGTATACCGTTTTTTTTTTTTTTTCACCGGTTCCCCATTAACCTTAACTTTGAATTTTATAATTAAAAACATTAACTTTGAACTTCGTTCTTCACCTATTGTGGACTTCAAAAGATAAGAATTCTTTTCACCCATCATCACTTTGTGATCCAGAGTAAACGTCTTGGGTGTAGTTGGGGATTATGCTTTTCACATCTTGTTAAGATGTATTGATATGTGCTAATAATTCAAATTGTTGGGAGACGTCCCATAAATATTAATCGTATATCATTGTTTTGCAAATTGGCTCCGGCAAGATAGTGAAGCGTGGGCTTGAAGTTCGCTCAACGCTATCATAGCAATTAGCGCAAGTGCTCAAAACCAAACTTTTAACATGAGGATTCAAACACCCAAAAGATTTTGGTAGTCAACAGGGACAGAGCTAATTAATGATAATCGGTAACTCGTCTATCCTAGAACCACAACAAATTATATAAATCAATTTTATCTACTAATTTCTACATTCCAGTTTATCAAGATGTATAAAAAGTCACGATTATTAGAGGAAATCATTAATTTTTTATGATAACATTCGGAAGAGAAAATTAAATCCAATCAAGGTATTTACTTGTGAATATAGCTAATTTTGAGGACGATCTTAAACAAAATTAAATGAACCAAAAAGATCATCTAAGCCGGTTTCATAAAGCAATACACCATACCAAACCCCAGAGGCACACTTCATTGAAATTTTGTTGACTATTTTATTTAGCTGTTATTATTTATCGGTCATTCAGATGTCTAAGGACGATCACTTTAGGGGCAGAGCCAAAGTACTCTATTCTACATAGTTTGTGTTTTATCCATACCAATATCCATGCAAAATTCGGATAATATATTTTAATTATGTCCATACAAAATCAATTTTCGAATATTTATAAATATCCACGGATAATATTTTTTTCTTAATATAGTAGGTTATGAGAATTGAGTGTGAGAATTCACTTGCCTACCCAATGCGGTCATGAGAATTGAGTGTGAGAGAGTACATTTGCCTACCCAATGCCTTACCACTTGAACTACTCATTGATAATTATATGATGTATACTGTAAATATTCTAAACATAAAAAATAATTTCATAATTTTATTATCGCAAATGAACGTCATATAGATTGGGCTATATATTATACAAATTATATTAAACAGTACTAGTGGCCTATTAATTGTAGGAATTTCAGCTGATCCCCCAAAGCCAATAGAAGTTTGTGGATTATGGTGCAGGTGAACCTAAACATTTGCATTTAAATAATAAATAAGTAAATTGTGTTAATTAGCAGTTTCTTTTTCAAATAGTGAAAATGAATAGAAACTAACTTTCCGTACCAAATGGCAACACCAATAAGAAGGAAACACGAAGGTGCTTTCAAGTAATCAGCGATGATGGCAACTCAAAGTTTATAATTCAGTATAATAATTTTTGCAGGTTAATGTTAGGTTATATGTAATATAATGTTCAGTACTACTCCACAATATTTACGTACATATGATATAACTATTTTTCTCAATAATTAGAAACCAATTTACACCTCTATATATGTGTGAGTGATCATTATTGTAACCTAGTTATGTTAAATATATGCCAAATATTTACCAAAGTTGTTTTTGTCGCGCGTTTTATTTACTAACCGTTCGGTGAACAATAAATTTCATTCCGTAACTTTTACTTAACATATTTAATTTGCATCATATGGTACTAACTTATTATGTAACATGTCAAATAACTGAGGAAAAACCTTCTGCAACAAGCTTGAAGTACTGATAGCGGGTATATTTAGCTAAATTGTTGCGTAAGATTAACATATAATTATCGTTTGATATAATCGTTATGTAATATATTGTATCTTGCATAATATTCGTGCAACGATATTAGGTAAAAGTATATGATCCTCCAATCAATATATGGAGGTTCCCAGCGAAGACCCACCCCATTCACTTTTTCCAGGCTTCTGCGCAAAGGGAGGAAGGGGTCCTTTGTCTTTTTCCTTTTTAATTTTTTAATGCAGAAAACATGTTTATGTTTTTGCTGTGTATAATTATGGGTCTGAATGTTTAATGGGCCTGAATAATTTTTTAGATTTTTATTTAATTAAGGACGTGGGGTTCTTTTCTTTATTGTTTTGATTTAGGCAAAAGCTTGATATAAAAAAGGAAAATCAATTACACGAAATGGGCCTGAATAATTTTTAAGATTTTTATTTAATTAAGGCAAAAGCTTAATATAGAAAAGGAAAATCAATTACACGGCAACATCATTAAACAACAATTTTAACAAAGTCAAAAACCAAAATGACATTAGTTATCTGAACTCAATCAAAAAATTTGCAAACTTTATACTGGAAGTTAAATTGGTAGATGGTATTTTACTGTATGAAACAGTTGAACTATGATTAAAAAAAGTTTTCAGTATGAAATAACCTATAACTGAATTTCCGGTACAATCTCCAGTACGGTTTTTCAATTCTTGCTTTATGGTCAAGCTTTTTTTTTTTTTTGGCAAGAGAAGCCATTGAATTTAATTAATATGCATCGATTAATTAAATTGGCATGAATTCATTGTTCCATGTCTTTTACCAATTAGTTTTACACTAATTGACTATGCATCAAAATCACAACAACACATGGTTAGGGTGGGTTATTCATCAAAGAACGAAAAATGTCTAAGGTTGGCCAAATTAATTTTTATATTATTTAGAATTATTTTTGGCAATTTGACACCTCTAAGAAATACTTTTCGTGGAGAATTGTCTATGTCTGAAGCGCAAATAAGCTTTTAGATGGTATCACCATAGTGGAGGAGCTAAGTTGGAGGCAAGAGAGGCTATAGCTCCCCTCCCCATCCCCTCAAATTTGAAATATAAATAACCTTAAATATAGAATTCGCAACAAATTTAGTTAATAGAGTAGTCGATAAAGTTTTAGCCCCCTCCTCCAATTATAACAGTTCAAGTCAACCCACTCATCAAATTTCTATCTCCGACATTGTTAATGAACATCTATGGTAACTATTAATTGCTTATGATTTCTAACCATTTTCCATTGTTCATCTCACAAAAGTATTGCTTTATATCTTACATTTTCATAAATTAATCCCCACAAATAAGAGTTGAAGAGAATTGATCAACCATTGATATCACCAAGAAGGAAATATGCTCTTTACATAAGAAAAAAAGGGAATTATCAACATTTCTAATGACAATCGATTGATTTCATGTTTGTTTTCAATCTATATATTATCCTACAGATAAGCAAATTGCGGTAATAGCGAAATAAAGCAAATTGCGGAAAATATTCATAAATTTTACGAGGTAAATTCTACTTAGCAAAAATGGTGCTATATATTTGATAATACTCTACAATTAGTTTTTTAAATTCGATCAAATGCATGAGAATAAAGAAGAGATCATTGGAATACAATAAAATAAGGAATAGACAATTGTAATTGATATGGAGGTGTCAATGTCACTGATGGAGATGAATGTGTTGTTATTAATGGAGATTATGATTTGCTCATGGAAGAGGAAACCAAACAAAGCCAAGAAAATATGCATTAATTTCTATCAAAGTGGAGTAAATAGAAGTGTCATTTTCATAAGTTTTTAGGAGTTGGCTCCTTGGTTCGAAGTCTATCTTTTATGTTAAGGATTTTAGCTTATGAACTGGTTAGGATGCTAGAAAATACTACGATGTTAATCCTTTTGAATGTAGTTACCAATTACTAAATAATTTTTTTTACAATGATTACTAAAGAATTTGAATTCTCTTATGCTACCAAATAAAAATGTATTTTGTTTGACTTTTGCTACTCATTATTTTGCGACGTGCAAAATGAATCCGACCAACTGCTCAGGTCCACGTTGCTTCAAACAAATTGCTATTATTGTTTATACCATTTATGAAATGCATTCGGCCAACGGGCCGGGTACGAATCTAGTTTTATATATATATATATATAATAAATTGTGATTTTGATATGGTGAATGTTAGTATCAAACTAACGCCAGTGATTATACAAACGCCACGTAGCATGTTCCATATTATGGCAACATAACCGGCTGATTTCCACCCCTACCGTTAAATCCATTTACAAAGGTGGTAACGGGTAAATAAATGAACTCGATCTACCACACTATGTTGAAAGGCTAGGCCGGCTATTTTTTTTTTTTTTAAGATATAATGTATTAATGATCGAAAAAATAGACAGTTACATCCTGGAAACCAGCCAGGTATGGAAATCAAAGAAGCGACTCATAGTCGGATACAAAGAGAGGGCTTTCCTAGCTACCAAATGAGCTACCCTATTGTTCTCTCGTCCTACAAAACGCACACTAAAGCCAGGCAGGACCGGCTAATTAAGTAGTTAATTATCAACTAATTTTCTCCCATCCATTCTAATACTTGGTTGCTTACCAACTATCGAATTTTATTTTAGCCGATCTTGCTATTAAGTCAGTGTAGTATGCTCTCTGGATTTTGGGGGGAAAGATGCACGGTATCTTTTGACCGATCTCTATTAAGAATATTTCAAAAGAGAAGCAATCAATATGTTCCCACTTTTTGGAAATCGTTCTAGTAAACTACAAACCCGACGTACATATATATGCAAACCCTCCACAAATAAAAATTAATTATTTTAATTGGAACCGTTAATGTAGACAAGGGAAGTCGGCAAAATGGATCCGTAACCTCGAAAAGAGGATTGGATTGGATTCGGGGAGCCCTATCCCGAACCTGTCGGCTATCGGCGGGCTGCTCGAGCAGCTGCCGCGGTAAGAGCGGGCCGCCGCGTGTCGGCTGGGCAACAGACTAGTAATGACCCTCTTGGGGGTCAACCAACTCATAACTGGTACGAAAAGAAAATATTAATACGTCGTTTGAAAGCCTCCACGTGAAGCAATCAAGGTTGGCAACCAGCGAATTGAGTCATCTCGGTTGACTAGTTTTGACCTTGATTCAATGAGAAAGACGGGGACACACACCCGTGAATCGACATGCTGCAAGATTACCGAGTTGGATGTCATCACACGACGTCGTTTTTTTCCCTCTACTTTGCGAAATGCGCTTCTTTTTCGGATTTTCCTCTTCGTCTAACCCTATCGTTGGAAAGTGAACATTGATGTTGTATAAGTGTGTGTGAATTTTCACTATATGTTGGATCAAGTACGATCTATTATATTGATATAATTTTATATCTATTACAGGCTAAACCGTTTGACAACCTTGGAAGCAACCCCACTCCCCGCCTATAAATTCACCCTCACAAACCCTCTCCTCCTCCGCCCCAAACCACCACGTTAATCAATCATTAACTTAATCATCAATCACGTCGAATCATGGGTTCGATCGCCGACGACCTCCCGATGCAGCTCGCCGCCACCATGCTCGACGTCAGCAACAACGAGAAGTCGAAGCCGCCGGCGACGCAGCTGCGGCCTGTGTCGGACGGTTTCACCGTGACGGCGGTGAGGAACGAGCTGGTGGCGGCGGTGCTGCCGGTGCAGGAGCACTGGCTCCCGCTATCCAACCTCGACCTCCTTCTGCCGCCGGTGGACGTCGGGGTGTTCTTCTGTTACCATGCGCCGCCCGACGGCGGAGACGCCGCGGTGGCCGGGCTGAAGAAGGGGCTGGCGCAGGTGCTGGTGTCGTACTATGCCTTCGCCGGGGAGGTGGTGATGAGCTCCGGCGGAGAGCCGGAGCTGCTGTGCAACAACCGCGGGGTGGAGTTCTGCGTGGCTTACGCCGCCGACGTGGAGCTCCGGGAGCTGGACTTGTATAACCCCGACGACTCCGTCGAAGGGAAGCTCGTTCCCGTTAAGAAGGACGGCGTTTTGGCCGTTCAGGTAATATATTATATTTCTCTTTCTTTGTTTTGTCTAAAATGGCCGGGAAAGCAGAGTTGGCTAGTTGACAGTAATTTAAACAGATCCAACCCATTAAATATATATAAAAATCATATAATGCAAAAGGGAAACCGGCCAACTTTTTTTATGGTACTTAATCACTTTCTTATACAAACTCTCAAATAAAAGTTAAACATGTGAAGTTTGGACATATCCACCATATCATGTATTTTAAACACATCATTTAATATTGGGGTAGTGAGAGATTAAAAACTTGACTTCAAAGACAAATCAGCTCGTCGAACTTCAAAAAGTTCATGTATAAATTTTTTTAATATAAATATAAAGTGATAGTATTTGCTTTTTATCGTTAAATACTAGAAAAAGGGTTTGAATATAAAACCTATAAATTTAATAATAGTGATAATGCGACTGGAACAAAGTCTTATTGAAATTATATTTGAAACTTGTTTACATAAAAAAAAAAAAAAAAACAAGAAGAGCCCAAACAAGTCGATCTTCCCGCCACTCTCGATCATTGGCCTAATCATTATTTAACTGCCCAATTTATACATAGCCTGACGTGAGATGTGATTACGTATTATCTTTTACCAAATTAACTTGCTTGTATTTGTGAAAGATATATGCCGTGTATGTTGTCAAAAAAAAAAAAAAAAATATGCCGTGTACTGTACCCGTATCGTGCACAGACTTCACCTTGTTATGAAAATTATTACCTCGGCCGTAAATTTCGGGCGGTGAAACTGAAACTCTGATTTTTTTTTTTACCGCCATGCAGGTGACGGAACTGAGATGCGGCGGGATAGTGGTGGGCTGCTCCTTCGACCACCGCGTCGCCGACGCCTACTCCTTCAACATGTTCCTAGTCTCGTGGGCCGAGTCGGCCCGCTCCAGGCCCATCTCCACCCTCCCTTCCTTCCGCCGCTCCTTGCTCAACCCCCGCCGCCCGCTCTCCCACAACTCCGCCCTCGACGACATGTACGTCCCCATCGCCTCCCTCCCGCCGCCTCCCTCCACCGCCGCCCCCGCCCTCATCAGCCGCATCTACCACGTCAGCTCCGATGAGCTCATCAAACTCCAAACCCTCGCCAACACCTCCGCCCACAGTAACAACAACAACAACAACAAGAACCGGTTCTCGAAGCTCGAGTCCTTCTGCGCTCACCTCTGGCAGCTCGTGGCGAGATCTACCCGCGCCCGCGGCGACAAAAACGACGTCGTAACGAAGATGGGGATCGTGGTGGACGGCAGGTCCAGGCTGGGCCCGGAGATGGGCTCCTACTTCGGGAACGTGCTGTCGATTCCGTACGGAGGGAAGATGGCGAGCGAGCTGGTGGGGAGCTCGCTGGGCCAGGTGGCGGGCGGGGTCCACGAGTTTCTGGGCCGCGGGGCGAGCCGGGACCACTTCCTGGGCCTTGTCGACTGGGTGGAGGCCCACAGGCCGGAGCCGGCGATATCGAAGATATATAGTACCGGGAGCGCGGACGGGCCGGCGTTCGTGGTGTCGTCGGGGCGCGGGCTGCCCGTGGGCCAGGTGGACTTCGGGTGGGGCCTGCCGGGTTTCGGGTCGTACCATTTCCCGTGGGGCGGGACGGCCGGGTACGTGATGCCGATGCCGAGCCCGAAGGGGAAAGGGGATTGGGTTGTTTACATGCATTTGTTCGAGCAGCAGTTGGCGTTGATCGAGCGGGAGGCGGGTTCCGTTTTCAGGCCGTTCGCTTGGGACTACGTCGTTTAGTAATCTATACGATGGTGGTGGTTTATTATTATTATTATTATTACTAGCGATAATTAGCGCTAATTACGTCCCTTTGTGTTTAAGTGTGTGTTTATGTATGTATTAATACGTATAAAAATTAATGTCGGCAGTGCATATACGTATATGATATGAGAGAGGGTTACTTATCGATCTACGTATTACGTATTGACTCGTCATGATATTGTTTCATATGTCATCTGCCATTTTGGATGCGTGATTTAGAGATAATTTAAGTACCATTGTTATCGTATATAGATGTCTATTTCCCAAGCAATTATGGAAGTCGTCGGAACTCGATAAGTATAGGTCTCTCTATCAAGTCTCCGTCAACAAAAGGTGTAATTTATATTATGTGTTCTATATATGAAACTTTAACAGCGATTCCATAATTAAAAATAAAATAAAATAACTCAACGGCGATCAAGTATAACTAGGGGGTGGGCAACGGGAAACGGGTATTTGGGTATACCCGTACCCGTCCCGTTTTTTAAGGGTTACGGGTACCCATATTATCCGTAATATTTTAAATGGATGGGACTTGGGATTGTACAGTCCTAATATGGGTACCCGCGGGTTACCCGCGAATACCCGTTTGGGTAATATGGGTACCCGTTGTACCCATTCAAATTACAAAGACATATAATTCAGCCCATGCGCCCAGGCCCAACCCAATTCAAAATCCATTAAAATTACAAAATCCATTAAAATTACAAAATCCTTCATTCACCGCCACCGCCGCCATTTTGTGTTTTGAAATGAATGCTTTGGATGTAATTGACTAATTGTCTTTAGGTAAAATGTCATTTAAACTTTGGGTATTTATGGGTAGTATGGGTACCCGTTATCCGTCCCGTACGGATAATGGGTACCCGTTTCCCTTATGGGTTTGGGATATGGGATGGACTTTGGTCTCCAAATGGGACTAGGTACCCGTTTAAAACGGGACGGGTATCCCGTCCCGTCCCGTTGCCCACCAGTGAGTATAACCAAAACAAATATTAGTGGTGTAAATGTTAGGTGATGGCAATGGGACGGGGCTAGTATGGACTTTCATACCATTTCTGCATCAAGGATGCGGGTCGGAGTGGGTCGACCCACTCTTACATGCTGTTTGGAAAAAGTACACGTAAAATTTACTTTTTTTTATCATAGAACAAAAGCAAAACACTTTATGAATGAAAAAATAGTGATGATAGATGGGTCTAACTAGTTGAAAAAAAGTTGAATTGAAGAAATATGAGTTGATATTGTAAGAAATTAAAATAGAATAGGTCAAGAACGGGACTAGACGGATCAGAAGTAAATACTGATCATACCCCGTCGCACGCTACTGCAGATCGGGTAATACCCGATTGGTCGTATTCAAATTGCTTTCACTAATAAATGTCTATGATTAAGGAAAGTACCAATCAGGGATAGCAAGTGACCTTTTTTTTATATTCCTAAAGCTATAGATATATATACCTTTCTCATCTATATGTGAAGATTTTCCATCCTCATCCCTATAATTTTCAAACAAATATGATTATATAATTTGTGTCCACGCATCTTACATGCATTTATTGCAATTAAGTTGAAAATACGTCAAAGTTTAGTGGAAATGGAAAATTTATTGCAAAAAAGTTTTGGTATATTTCTTACATGCATTTATTGCAAAAAAAGTTATAAAATGTGAAATGGATATTTCTCATACCGGTCGTTCTTGGTATAATTGTCATTCCTGTCACAACTCTCTGTTATGTAGAACTAATCCGCGCTTACCCCTAATGGGAGGTGAAGTTATGGGTACTATTACTAATAAACTTAATTTTCACATTCACAAGGAAGGATTAAGGCTATCAATTTCAAAACCCAATATACATTTTTTTTTTTGTGATCAATAATGCTTTGATTGGTATATCAACTCCATACGTGTCCATGCACTTATGAAAGTGAATGTAGTATTGTTGCCTATTATTATTATTATTTTTTTAATTAATAACTCATCATGTCGATGGTGATCAAGAAGCTAATCAATTACATATATGCTATGGATTATTGTATACATATGACGTGGCTTGCAAGGTAGACAAATTGGTGACCTGCAGTACTATAGTACTAGATTAGGGTTTGGTTTACGTGGACAAAGACAGCTTTAATTAAAAAGGAAATTAACAAGTGATTAGATCCCATTTGGCCTAATTGGGTGATTGACGAACGCCACATTTACATTAAATTAATTGGAAGATAAATTAATCTTGTGGAATAGCTGATTGATTTTATTTTTATAAATATATAGCTAGAGCCACTCCAGCAATTGTTGGATGAGTTGGCCACCTTTAGGAATTAACTAGAGTTATTATTATTTATTTAAACCGGTGTTAGAAAAAGTCTCTACTGATCTGTTTGTCTCCTCTGTTCCTGTATTTCAACGAAAACAAGAAATTTCTGATGTTCCCACAGCTAATTCAAAGGATTCAGTCAACATATTTTCCTTATAGAAGAGATTGAACAGAGAAAAGCGTGCGTAGGAGTGTATGACTATGCATGTCTCTTGCTAAGTTTCAATCTTAACTTCGGAAAGTAAAATAATAATAATAAATTGATTGCTAAGTAATGAAGAGTGATTCATTTACTTCAATGTGTAAATTAGAGCATTATTATTCACTTTCATATGTGATCTATTCGTGGTGGATACGTGTATGGATACGGGTCGGGAAAGCCCCGAAACCAACTCGCTCCATACCCACCAACTCCTTTTTGTGGATTTCACACCATACTCGTCTCATAGTTAGATAACTTGGGGATTTTGCACGTTGACTAGCTCAGGCCAGGGGCAACATGGTTGCGATTTTTTTTAATAGTATTTCTACGCAAAAAAATAATAATTCAATTCTTGTAATATGGTAGAATCATTTGATCTTAATAATAAGATGTCTAAATATATATATAAGTCATTCCTTCTACCATTTGATCTTAAGATGTCTAAATATATATAAGTCATTCCTTTAAGAAAAACGCAATAGCCAAGCTAATTGACTCAACTACTACAAAGGTTCCCCAAGTCTTCCACCAAAGATAAATGAGCCGCCGAATATTTCAATTATCTTCTTGGATTCTTATTAAACATGCATCTAATTTATCGTGCTATATATATATATATATATATATATATGAGAGCCGCCGACTATATATATATATATATATATATATATATTGATTCTTGACGTGTGATATGATGAGAAACTACAATTTCTCCAAATTCAGAATCAACTCACTTAAACCAAACTTCAGCACTTAATTAAAGATGAGTGGAAGGAGATACGACTATTATATGTCTTAATTAATTAACATGCTACATAGGGTCAACAAGTGATGCATGCGTATGCGTTATTAATTAACCTCACACTTAACCACTCTTGACTAACATATATCCTATGTTTGGCCCGGCTTTTAGAAGTGCTTTTCGGCTTCAAAAGCTGAAGCATGGCCAAACACCTGTAAAATCTCGACTTTTGAAAAGCCGAAAAGCGCTTTTGTATAACATAAAAGCAGAAGCTCCGATTTGGAGCTTCTGCGAAAAACTGTTTTGAAAATACAAGATTATTCTTACCATATTTTAATTTTATTTCAAAAAATATAATTTTTCTTCATTTATATCATTTAAAAAAATTATAAAATCATATTATTTAAAATAATACTACTTTTTATTGTTTAGAATTTTTATTCATATTTTATATTATAAGTCCTATATAGTCATTTAACACAACCTTTCATATGTAAAAACACTTCTAATAGTTTTACAGCCAAACACTCAACTGCTTTTTTTGAAAAGTACTTATCTAAAAGCTCCAGCCAAAAGCTGCAAAAGCTACCGCAGGGCCAAACTAAGCTATAGAATACTTTATCGTACAACTACGAGACTGCTAAATGAGGCGCCACTAACAACTGCTCTGCTCTTTTCAAAACAACTCCTCCATCTCCATCTCCATGCATGCATATAGTGATCGATATGAGTGTATTTCTTTTAGGAACAACCACCATGACTTCTCTACAAAGGGTAGGACAACCCAAATAATACTACATCGGTAATCCAAGGAAATGGATCCTTGTATATAAGTGTCTATCAATCAAGATCATCATTAATACGAGGCATTTTCAGAAGGATACTCAAATGTAAATTCGTGCGGATTCGACCCCAAAACGGACGATATCGTACTAATTGAGCAGCGCGCGATTTGACAGAGACAATATGTTCAGTACGTGGGTGTTAGGGTAGAAAAGGGTACGAGGCTAGAAGTGTCTACGCAAGTGGTCATGTCATAATACAGTAGCAGATTCCAGCCGGCCCTCCAAGCAAGCAACGAGACCTGGTTTGTTGATCGATCTGTTCTACACAATTGTTTTTCTTTTCTCCCTACGTTGAAAACTTGGACGATCGATGGATCAGTTGAAGAAATATATAATGACATGACCACTTTTGGTAGAAATTAAAATCCAATCAGCTAGATCAAGCGGCCCTCTTCTGCCTAGCTATTATTGGCCTCTCCTGTTATTAGTCTCAAGTCTTCATAACCAACGACGACAAGAAAGGTTAATGAGAGGAATTTGATCCATAATTGGATTTTTTTTACAACTCGTGTGGTTGGAATTAACTCGTTATTGACATGATATCAAACCTTCATGTTATTGAGATGCCTTCTATTCGAATTCATGTGATCGTATTTGTTAACTATATGGTGTATATTTTGATGTCTGTGCAAATTTCAAGCCCTTTCTGTATTGGGTTTTTGTTTGAAGGGTGTAGAGTGAATACGTGGTTGTGTTATATGGTGGCAGTTCAGCTGCCGCCATATCCACGTCCGATCGTGACAGGAAATTAAACAAGCGAACATATTTATTGAACAACTAATTAACAAATGAAAGTTGTCATGTAATTAAACCGTAATTAAGGAAAACGTTAATTACCAAACACACGTCTTAGTTACCATTTAGTCATCACCAACCACTGTTAACTACGTAATGCAAGCAGCATTATTAATGCAGGGGATTAGGTAGAATATTCAAGCAAAGCAACACCTTCCAATTAAGTTCCAATCACTTTTAGTCTTCACTACTCCCACCAATAGAAGGCAGAGAGCTTCCATTTTGGTCCATGACTCCAAGGTCGTTCACCTTACCCCCTTAGTTATAATCAATCATCCAATTGCGTCACTCAACTATATACACACACACCTAGATAGAGAGCTGCAATACTCATGAATGAACCCAATAAACGAGTCTACTCGAGTCGAGTTTTTGTCTAGTTTGAATTTCGCTTATTTATATATTGCTTGGCTCGATTTTAAATTGAGATAATCTAGGTCGTGTTTGGTTCCACTTGAAAAAAAAAACAAAATTATAGCTAGCTCGAGCTCGACTCGATAAATACTCAGTAATCAAGCTTTTCCCGCTAAATAAAAGTTCGACTTAAAAAAATTTTGTCTTGATTTTTTCATGAATCTTCTTATTTTTCTCTTTCGTTTGATATCTTTCAAACTAGGGATATATTGTATGATGTGAACAATATTCATATTTATTCAACATAGTTTTCCTCGTTTATTCAATTAAACGAGTGATTTAAATTATTAATATAGTCATTTACTTTTGAAGATAATAGTTCTCTATATGTTTGTTACAACTAATTTCAAACTATTAAACAGATTATTAACTTCAGAATAAGGGTGATATATTAGCAACAAGACCTCTGGGGAGGCATTTTTTTTTCTTTTTTATAAGGATGATATAGGCTAAAATTTTATTGTTATGTGCTATTAAAATGAATCTAACCTCAAATCTTGCCATCCTTACTTAATATTATAGTTATTCAAAAGTAAAATAATGCCACATCAGCACTTCAAGTGCTCTCAGCCCTCCCCCGTCATCCTTACTCACATAGAATTATTTAATTTATTTTCCTTATAAAATTGGATATCTTGGTTTCATTTTGCCTTCCTTTGCGCAGCAGAAACATCCCCATTTATAGGCAATTATTGTAGGAAATGCTCCAGCATTTAACATTTTGTCAAGATTGTCAAACCGATTTATATTATTGTGTCATTTTAATAAGTGGTTCGACCAATGGTACAATCGGTTTGCATCTGTTCATGCCGGTTTAATAGAATATGTACAAATTTGAAAAACCATTAACATCAAATGAATTTAAACAAATATAAAAATATTTGAAGATAATTTACTTATATTCTATATCCATGTTTAAATAAAATACAACATTCCAAACAAAATAATAAACATAATATACAAAATTTAACGTCAAGAGTCAAGACGCAAACTTTTATACTTAAATACAACAAATAATATCAACATTTAACTTTTAAATTCATGAAATTATCCACAAATTAATTTTTTTCCTATTAAGTTCACTCTAATGGTGTAATTGTATTTATAGGTCGAAAATCGATCATATAGATTATACTGGTGGTATTCAGACCGATTTCATGGCCGACATCGATTGAACTAGGTTCATCCGACGGTCATTCCACGAGCGTGACAACCATGCATTTTTGCCATTTCTTTCCCATAAAAGAGGATGGTTGTACCAACATTCTGGTACCTGAAAGGTAATTGAAGCTACCAGAACGTGGAAATGTTATATATCATGGATTATAGTCTAGACAATTTCAAAAACTAATTTTCAATCGATATAGCAGGTTGCAACTATTCACTTGCTAAACTAAATGCTAAGCTAAACGTAAACAAAGAAAGATCAAAATAATGATTGCCAAAAATAAAATAAAATAGTTATTGTCCATTGCTACGAAAAAAGTATATTGTTGG